AAGGCAGTAGGGTGGTTGTTGCGTGCTGTACCATCATCAGCATTGTTGACGGCTACTCCCGCCTTGAGTTGTTACATTCATAGTTTTTTTTATGTTACTTCATACGCGAAGTTAACGATTTTCATAGTTGGTTGGAAATGCTAACATGAGGCTTTAGTGTGACAATTTATTAGCTAGAGAATGATCTTCAGAAGAGGGTAGGTGGATAGTTCTGGATCAACAATAGAAAAGGGCCCATCAGCATTTGTAATCAAACCGTTCCAAAGCCCTTTACTCACAAAGCGAAGGCCACTCACGCAAACCAACACCATCATCGGATAGGGGAAACTTCTACCTACACGATGATGGTGTTGGTTTGTGTGGGCGGCCTTCGATTTGTGAGGAATGGGCTTTGGAACGGTTTGTTTACAAATGCTGATGGGCCCTTTTCTATTGTTGATCCAGAGTTCCGTTAGAGTACGGCAGTATGGGGCTTTAGGTAGTGATGAAACGTCGCTAGAACTATTCCACAGCCGCAGTCAGTTTATGAGCAAAAGGAGGACGCAATAGGAGACTTCAAAAACTGTCACATTAATGGCCCTTCGCTCATTTTCACCTTCTATTCAATTTTCATACTGCCGTACTCTAACGGAACTATCCACCTACCCTCTTCTAAAGATCATTCTCTAGCTAATAAATTATCACACTAAAGCCTCATGTTAGCATTTCCAACCAACTCTGAAAATCGCTAACTTCACGTTTGAAGTAACATAAAAACACTTTGAATGTAACAATTCCATACAAAACAGTTATTGTAAGTCTCAGAAATTCGTGAAAATTGCTGTAGTTCTTCCTTATCAAGAAAAAATTGGACTAGTATCTTTTGATTCCGCCAAAAGGCGTGTTAGAGTGATCCGAAGAAAAAAATCTATTTTCAAAAATTCCTTTTTTCGTTAGTTGTAAGGAAATTACGAAACACTCAGAAATATTTGATTTTGAATGAAAAAATACGTAACAAAAGATTCACTTGATTTTCACTGCAAGGGTCTTCAACAACTTCTTATTTTAATATTTTTTAATGAAAGATCATTTTATTTTACATAACATATCAAAAAATTAGCGATGTCGGAGGAGTCGTTTTGGGGATACAATTTTTTAATACACATAAAACAAAGAATTCATTATGTATCTCCGCAGTGACTCCTCTGACATCGCTTATTTAAACAACATTAAAAAAATATTTTATTTGAGGGGTCAACCGTAAAAATCGGTCCAGCGGTTCAGCAGTTATGAATTTATGAAAAAAGGAATTTTTGGAAAAAAAAAGTTTTTTTGGACCACCCTGACACGGAAATGGTCACCCTAATGGCGGAATAAAAAAAATGCGAGTTTAATATATGTTGCTAAGGAAGAACTATGCTAATTTTCACAAAATTCTGAGTCTGACTATATTTTTTTTTCTATAAAATTGTTGGTAGGGGAAATCGATGTAATGTCAGCCTAAATGCCCCTAATTTGGACCCATACATAAACTCAGTAATCGACTAAATTTTCAATAGCGACCAAAAATATTAATTAGTACCGTCTTAATGACGCGTTCATCTAGATAAAATTGATAAATAGCAGATTTTTAGCTATGGGCCTAATCTTAGATCCATGTGCCAACCAATAGAGCCATTTCCCTTATTTGATATTTTATCAATACATCATTGCACAAAAACGGCTCATCGTATCGAAATGACGACTGAAACAAAGTTAGAGGAAACTAGATTGCTTTTTGATAAAAAAAAATACTCACTATTTTAACACACAAATGTTTACAGGTTTAGGGAAGTCTTTTGCAATGCTATCTCTCTTTAGAAGCTCAGCTGAATCGGTTAATAACTGATGAAATAGGATTAATACCTTTTTTTTTAGGTGAGAAAGGTTGGATACACAAAAGTTAAAAAAAGCCTTAAAGAATAAGTTGAACAATAAAAACCAAAACAAAAACTTTTAAAACTTCGAAATTGCATTGAAACCATCAACATCCCGAAAAATGGCCTTTGAAACGTCAAAATGACTTTAAATCACTGAAATGGCTAAACAACACTAAATAAGCCTGCAAAACATTAAACTAATTTATTCTATTGCCAAACATGTGTAGCCAAAATTGCATAAGAATACTGAATAACTAGGTAAACGCAAAATGCAGAATAAAATGTATAAAATCGCTACTGACAAAGCTCGGTTGGAATGGTGCAAAAACAGTGATACTATCGGTGAAGGATGTTGTGTGCTCGCTTTGGGGTTGGAACCATAGTTGGCTCCGGGCGCAGTGTTCAGAAAAACTCAAAAACTCAAATCTCATGCGTGAGTTTATTCGTCTGTGAGTTTTGCCTTGCAAAATTTATCTGAGTAAAAATCACCGATGAGGTACAAAATCGTTATTCATTGTTATTACTGTTGTTTTAGTATCAGTGGTTGGAAAGTTAACACAACATGCATTAGTATGAGCTGTCAATTGACGTTTGAGCGATTTTATGGGTTTTAAGAAGGCATTATTTTTTTTGGCGTTGCGAGTGTGAGTGTGTGAAATTGCATGAGAATCTCAAGCGTGAGATTTGTATACCAAATTCACACGCGAGTTTATTCGCTATTTTTCACACACTGCTCCGGGGACGTAATTTCATTTCGAATATGAAATCATACAATCATTAATAATTTCATGCCACCAAGCGTGATCGATCACCGGTAGCAATGGTTTGTTATGACGGAAGGGGCTCGGTGGTCTAATGGTGACTATTTTTGCATGCTGAGCAGAAAATTTTCATTCAGTGTTCCCACTAGCATAAACGTCCTTCCCGTGGCTCTACACGGTGTAGATGCAGAGGTGTATTTGGTCACTAGTAACAATGGCTGGCGAACCCTTCCCTATGACCATAAGGACGTGGTGCAACCTGATAAATTAATTAACCTTCGGAAAATCTGAATTGAAAATGATCAGTTCATCCCCTCAGCTCTCATCAGTGTTCACTCGGCTGTCGACAAAAGCAGGCCACTCTCGATGTGTGCTACGCGATCGTCTGTTTTCTCGGCAGCAACCATTGTGTGGTCCTCCTCATTGTTCTTCATCAGCAGTTCTTTCGGTCGATGCGTCGTCGACTTTGGAAAGCAACCTTTTCGTGATGAGTGTGTGAGTGCTGACCACGTTTTGCGTCCATTGCTGCAAGGGACGCGCTCTGACCCTCGTTGGCGTACAACAATTTGCCATACAATGAAACTACTGGAAGCGGCTCCAGTTCTTATGGAGGAGGCTTTTTGGATAGCGGAAGATAAAGTGTTTATTGTGTTGTACCTTTTGACTATAGTTTTAAGATGTATTGTATAGTGACCAAGAATCCTCGGCTCTGTAAAGTTAATTCGGTTGAGCTTAACAAATAAATAAATAAAAAAAAAAAAAAATCCCCTCAGCTCTCTGCTGAATCCATATGCAATTCCGCAGTTTCTTTTCAATCACTGAGTAGATTTTTCCTTTGGCTAGTTTTCTTTATAGCTCAAGGTTTTTAAACCAGTTTATGAGTTTCATCTCTTACTTTCTTAAACTTGATCCAATGACCGTTTGGCGATAAAAATATCCGCATTACTCGAACTCATAAATAATTTTAATTTGGGAACTCCTCGGTGATACCGGTCTATAAAAAATTATGAAAATACTAGTTCTAGAAAAACGTGTTGTGATCTTGAAGCTAAAAAAATAAAAATTAAACCCGAACTGACAATAACTTTAAAAAATCTAACCGAAGTCCAGTGCTGCTGAGAATAAAATGTTTAAATAAAAAGTCGACGACGATCCATTATCAGTAGAACCTAAATCAAATATTTATTTTTTTTTTAAATCTGCATTGCCAATGGACGAAAGCATGTGTCAATTTTAATCAAGAAACGCTTGAAGTCATCGCTTGATCATGATCAAGCGAAGCTCTGGTGAACATTCCGACGCAAACCCTGCGCCAATCAAACACCAACTCGAACTCTACCAGAGACCAACATGACATTAATCAAGCATTCATCCGATACGAACTTAACATTGAATCTTCATCGGGATGGCACGTCTAATCAAAATTATTTTGTTGTACGTACTTATCCCAATTGAAGAAACTTCAATCCAACTGCGAAACTAAGCAGATGTGCCACCATAGATATCGAAATCTGAAGATCACAAAAAATAAAACCACTGCACTGCTCATAAAAGCATAACTATCCCATCTCTGCTTGATTCCCAATTCATATGGGACATTTATGCTTTTATGGGCAGTGCAGTTGGTTAATTTTATTTTCCTAAGTAAAGAATAATCATTTGAATCGGAAGTCCAAGAAGCAAGCAATAAACGTCAATTCTATGAAAAATAGCCACTCAACCTTTTCTTCTGAAAGTACGGTCCCAAGAGCATTTCATTCAGTAACTTGATTGTGAGTTGCGACCAATTCCAAATGCCAGCTCTTCTCAGCATACAAATTCAATAAAGCTCCCAATTATTATTCCGACGGTATTTTCTGCACAAATTGGACAAGCGCAGAGCTACTTATTCAAAGAAAACAGCCTACTTCATGAATACAAAATTATTATCTAGAGTTTATAATTTATTAAAACTCATAGCAATCGAAATCCCAATTTGAAGGCAATTTGTCTGTTGGCCTACAAGAGCAACAAACAACTATTCCACAAAAACGTAATAACCCATTTCGGCCACTTCAACCACGAAGAATAAGACAGTCAGTTTTTCTCCTAATAATTCAGCTTACTCCCATTTTTCTTTCTTCTGCGAATGTAAGCGTTTGTTTATTTTCTTTTCGCAGCCAGAATCCTCGATAAACGACCGCCTATAGGGCTGTCTGTATACATAACCTAGCAAAAGCAACACAAGCCAAATAGATGGGATTTTGCAAAGTCATATTACCACCAGAAGGTTACATAGCCAGACAGACACACGAAACGGAAATCTAACAAAAACAAGCGGTTAAATAATTGCTTTTCCTACCTTTTCAACCGGAGGCCACAGCTACTCTAGAGCAACATCTGAAGAACCAGTTGAGATATCTCCTTCAGGCAATTTGTTCGTATAGCTCGTACGTATGATCTGGATATGGAGTACGATCCGACTGTGTTAAGCTCGGCGACAGGAGTGTCTTCCTCACTCTGTACGGTGTTGGTCCAGGTGTGCCGTGAAAAAGCACGGAGCGAGGTATGGATGGAGTCTTACTTCCGACTCTAACTACTAGGCTGTGCGTGCATATCCCTCGGGGTTGGGTTTGGGTGGTGGAAATGTAACATAATTTATCCAGTTTTGGGTCATCCTGAAAGGAAGTAGGAAGCAAAGTGAAAGGGATTCGTTAAATGGATAACGATTCGTTTCCTAGACTGGTGTAAGTAAGTTCGGGTGGGAAATTTGAGTTATCATTCCTGAAATAGTGATACATGATAGGTATTAGCGGGTGTAAGGGACGGTGAGTGCTATATTAAATATTTGATGTTCACTAAAGCCCTGGTGCTTTGGAAAAAAAATGTTAAGGTCCAGGACTAATAAAAGCAATAATTTAAAAGGATCTATTATCCTCTTCAGGCGTGTTTCTGCCACTTTACCAAGTTGTTTGCACATATTCAGTCTCTCTTTGCAAAGTAAATTGCACCACTAGGGATGTTGAAAATTGTCTTTTAATCGATCAATGATTACTCATGTGGATAATGTCAAAGTCTGATTAAAAGTAAATTTATACACCGATTTCAATGTACCACGCCCCTAGAGCTCAGAGCAAGAATATTTCGACAGCAGTATCATTATTTGTACTTTATACTTGGACGATTATCTGGTGAAAAATTTCGTCAAAATTGATCAATACGTTTCAAAGTTATAGACCAGGGACGCGATGGTTTCAATGCGAATCTATGACAAAAGGTTTAAATACAAAAGGTCAAAATACACAAGGTCGATAGGACAAAGGGTCGATAGAACAGAAGGTCGAAATGACAAAAGGATTATATGACCTAGGTCGAAAATACAAATACAAATACGAAAAATTTTTGGACGAATTAGTGCATTTTTAAGATAAATAAATTGTATGGATAGGTTGGCTTAGGTTTTCTTTATCAAGGAGGTTTTCAACCTGGGGCTGGTTCGCCTCCGGATTGTATAGATATCTCGATGAACATTTCAAATGGTCCTATCTGCTTTGATCGATTCTCTTCATCGACTTTCTCTTTTCATAACCACTGCTATGCAAACAGATTTCGCGCTAATTCTACCACATAGTTTGATAAAGGAGGTTCTTATCTAGCGTCCAAAACGTCAAATACAACAGGGAAAGGTTTTGCAGCTGAGTTATTGACGAAAGAGAAAGTCGATGAAGAGAATCGATCAAAGCAGATAGGACCATTTGAAATGTTCATCGAGATATGTTTTCAATTCACTGCTCACTTATAAAATAAGTAAAAATCTTTGGAAAACATTAGATTTTCATTTCTCAGATAAGAGCAGTCCCACAGTAGTTCCAATTTGGCGGATTCATCTCTTTTGGCACATATGTGACTTTATGACTCTTGTACCACTCTAGCGAATCCTTTGGATAGTGGCAGGAAGCAAGATCAGGTCAAAAGATAACAGGTTTGTCATGCTGCCTGTTTTCCTTCACGTAAACTTTGCCATTGATTGTGTCTGTCGTTATAAATGGTCGAGAATTTTTCCAAACTGGCATACCGCATGCCGGTGTAAATGGCTTTGACCGTTTCAGGAACATTCTTTTGTGCGAAGTGTAGAACTGCGGTCCTGGCAGAGTCTGATAATCGAGTTTCACGCATGTCTCATCATCCATGATTATACAACCCGATTTCTTCTTCAGCATTGAGCTGTACAGCATTTTCAGATTTCCTCGTAAAATAATCAAAACAACTGACAACACGCGTTTAAAACTCAAAGCCTTTAATACAATTTTTAATCACAGCATTTAAAATAGTTCTCATAAGGTACACATATCCAATGGAAAATGTAACTTTCAAGTGATATCATAATTGGGAATTGCACAACAAAACCACATGAACCTAATGTGTCAAATACAATATAAGTGATTTATCATATAGAACTCATGTGATCACGTGAATGTTATGTGAAATTCAGATCGATATCATTGGTTTTGTTAATGGAAAAATATTATGCACATATGGAAACTACATGAAAGCTTTTTTCCGTGTATGTTGCCACAGGGCACTCGCTATCGCACCCGGTGAACTGGCAACCGATCCAATCAACTATCAAGCAGCCCGCCAGTCTAAGTGCGACGTCATCGACAGCATAAACGTCACCAGAAAAGACGTCATCCATTCGAATCAAGTAGACGAACAATCACGAGTGTGTAAAAGTATTTTTTTCTAAAACTAGTGCCTACAATAGTTCGTTTTTATAATCTAGTTCTACCTATTGTTGCGCACGGTAAATAATCCTAAAGTCTACAGTTTGAATTTGAACCTAATGATATTGATTTCTACCTAGTACTAAAACTAATTTGGGCAGCCAGAAAAAAGGCCTGAGCAGAAAGGCCACTGATTTGTAAGTGGTAACCTACACACTTAGAAAAAATGATGTAAATTTTGGTGCTCTGAGACTGACATATACGTGCGTCAATTTTGACATAAAATTAAGTCATAATAGATGCGAAATTCAGCTTAATCAAACGTACTTTTGAACTTTTCAGTCTCGGAGCACTTAGTTTTACATGACATGTCTGTTTACGTCTCATCCTTTATGTCAGAGATGGATTCCATCACGTGTAAGATTAGGTATTTCTAAGTGTGTATAAATCTGAACTAACCCTAAAGGCCCACGCACATTAGATCCGGATCGGACACGTTGCGGCAAAGTGACAGGTAAACCTATTGTCTAACTGTCAAATTTACGTCAACTCAACGCAAACGGATCTAATGTGGGTGGCCCTTATCTGAAATTTCCAATTTGAAGCGATCACAAAACAAAATAAACACTGTTCAATAACAGTGCCGTGCCTTTTAATTTGGCCGTACCAACAAGGTAAATGTTGGCTTAGGCACCCATTTACCGTTTTTGCAAACAAAATTTCACTGTATTTTCCCATCAAAACACTTCGCAGAATGTATTGCGCATTTTGCACCTTACTGGACTCCACACTTTGAAAGTGCGGGGATGAAATAAGTGCGGGCCATGCGTATGTCCGATAGAGTTGTCAAAGTCACAGTTATGCTTATCCGAAGTCGATGTGCGGTAACAAAGGTGAGGAGAAAGGAAACTAGTGGACTCTTTCATTCTGACGAAGTTCTTATGCAACAGCAGACGTTACGTCACGTCTGTTGCTGCGTAAGAAGACGCGAGAACGAAAGAGTCCACTAGTTTCCTTTCTCCTCACCTCTTATACCGCACATCGATCCGAAGTGAGTGTATGTTTTGGTTTTTGTTGTTGTTTTGATTTCAAGATCTTACACTCTCATTGCATTCTACTCGAAACACGTGTAAAAATAATTTTGCAAAATATTTGCAACTTTGCAAACAATTCTAAATTACTTATTTGTGAACAATTATATGGTTTTTCAAGCATGAATTAGATTGAAAATGATTTTAAGACGTGTTTAAATTCAAATGGTACACCTTTTTTGTTTCCAAATGTGTTAAACTCAATAGCGTTCTAGGCGTGAAATAGCCAAAAAGTTCGTTGTTTTTCGTCAGCGTACCATCAAAGTGCAACTCAAAATATTCCCAAAAATCCAGTCACCACTGCAACAGACAATATTCAAACGATTCCTTAGTCTTTGAGCTTCAATCTGATTACATTTTTACAACTGATCAATCCTATTAGACCAGATTTTTCTTTAAATGAAACCTTCGCACTACAAAATGAGGCTGACTGAGAGTTGCCGATAATAGAACAGCTGGTTAACAAGCACTGCAAAAGGAAAGGTTGCCAAAGAAAAAAAAAGCTTCCAACAATAGTCGCACTCACCGTTGAAGTTTGGAGCGTTGCAAAATCGCTTTCTAACAGTTTCGAACAATTCTGTCGATTGGAATGGATAGAGAAGCAAGTAGCAGATAAATGTAAACAAACAAACGGGTCATATATGTGCGCGACACTGAGAAAATGCTTATAGAAGCGAATACGTTAATACCCCTAATTAAAATAAGAGAAAATACCAAATAAATAATGTTTTTTTTTTCCCATCTATTAAACATGAGCTGAATTCAGATAGGTTGGTTTAACAATACAATGCGATGCATTCTCTTTGAAATTAAATCCAAACCGCGTCGGTTTTTTTTTTCATTTTATTTCTCTCTTAAACAAGTAACATAGTTTCTTCAAAAATAGTTCTTCTTGAAAGTTCGAATCATAACACAAATAATAACGCCGCACTGTTGAAAAAGTAAAATAAATCAAAAAATTTCATGAACTGTTGATTCTATAGTATTTGGTAGCTACTCCTTTGCTCTTAATGATTTTAAAGATTCACTTCGGCATTGAGGTAACAAGATTCTGGATTGCTCCCAGCATTCCCTTATGTACGCATTGAGGTTCTTCACGGTCTTGAACTGACGTCCATTTGCGTAAACCTTTGATGCCATTATTCCCCAAAGGTTCTCGATAGGGTTACAATCCGCACTACAAACAGGCCATTCAAGAACGATGATTTTCTTTGCCTTAAATCATGCCTTTGATTGGCGTGATACATGGATTGAGGCATTATCCTGCTGAAAAACAGCCAAATCGTCCAGATAATCCTCCAAATACGGCTTCAAAACATCTTTCAGAAGCTGGCAGTAAGTGGTTGAGTTCATTCTCGTGGCTATCCAGGTGGCAGATAGGACGCTTAGCATCGTAGGAAAATGCACCCCATACCATTACCATTCCTTCTCCAAAATTTCTCTATGATCGGATGGCCTGTTATCCCTTAAATCGCACCAATAATGACTTTAGCAATCAGGACCATCCAAGTTGAATTTTTTCTCAACAGCAAAAATTACGTGGTTCCATTCAATAATCCAGCGCATGTGGTTCTGTGCAAATTTCAATCGATTGACTTTATGCTGGGATGTAAGCTTCGGTTTTGACGTTGGTTTTATCCATTTTATGTATGAAGACCAGTCTTGTAAGCGGTCACGATAGTTGACACATTTTCTGTGATAATTGACTGCCTTTGCCACCGACACTTGCAAAACAAGCTATCATAGTACAGTACCAAACTAAAATGTCGTATGACAGACTCTGTCATACGACACTGTCGCCGAAGACCGTCACGAATGTATGTATTTTAGTTTTTCTCAAAATAAGAGCTGCTGATGGTGTGT